GGTCCGGCAGGACCCCGGGTGCTCCTGGACCGGAGAGTCCTGGCTGGGAGCCCCAGTGGCAACAGGGCTGGCGGCTTGGAGCCCGGTGGGGCCGGGGCCAGAACCAACCCTGGTAAAACAGCAGGGGGCACAGCATTCCCAGTAGTAGGGCTGGGGACCTGACAATTGTGGTACTGGGGCCAGGACTGGAGGTGCGACAGCCTCAATAGTGGGACTGGGGCTGGCATAGTCCGGGCTGCTGGGGCCACAGCAGCTTGGCAGAGGGATCTGCTGGGGCCTGCAGTGAGGAGGGAAGGTGATTTGGGGAGCTGGTAGCAGGAGACCTCCTCTGGTCCAGCAAATTCCCTCATTCAGGATTGATTAGGTCCCGAGGATGCCGGACCAGAGAGGTCCAACCTGTACTAGAGAACTGCCTCTGAGAGCCTTATAGTTAAAACAATCCAAAACAAAGAACTCAAAGAAATCAAAAAAGAAAAATAATTTTTAAGAACAGACATATGTCAGACAGCTGTACAGACAAATTTAGGAGTCATCATCATATTTCTACCAAGTTTTCCAACCAAAAGTATTTTCATCAGGACCTATATTCTTGATCTGGATACTGCAAATGAATTTCCCCATGGAGTTAGTTCATGGAAACACAACTTGCTTTATGCGGGTACGTCTACGCTGCAAAGTTTCTTTAGGAATAAGCTTTTCCGGAAGATATCTTCCCAAAAACTTATTTCAAAATAGAGCATCCACACTACAGGGAAGCCTCAAAATTAGTCTGAGGCAGGCTCCATTAATGTGGACACGCTATCTTGATTTAGAGCCCCAGAGGCACTTGGGAGGAATAACTCTGGAATGGCCCTAGTGAGGAGCTATTTTGACACAGCAGCAGTGGAGCATCTACACTTGCCCTCTTCCAAAAAAGCTTTTTCGGAAAAGGGCTTATTACTCGTAGAATCAGGTTTACGGATGTCAGAAAAAAAGTCCGTTATTTAAACAGAAAGTTGAAATAACGCAATTGTGGTGGGGACACTAGTATTGTTTTTCCGGAATAACAGCCATTATTCCAGAAAAACAGTGCAGCGTAGAATCAGAGTTATAGAATCAGAGAAGATAGAGTTGAAAAAATGAGCTCTTAGGTCATGCTGTCTATCTCCTTGCCAGTGCAGGATGTTTCATTGTTATACAGAAGCAAAAAATAAGCATTATTTAAAACTGGATTTTAAAAAAAATAATGAAAGTAGCAAAGGAAGATCCATGTCCTTTTGTGCTTTGGCTCTATGCACTAAGAGAATTTTATAAGAAAAACTGCAAATTGCATATGTTATAGAGATCTAATTTCGAAATAGCTTATTTTGAAATTTGGCACCGCCTACACAGATCACATTTCAAAATAAACTGCTATTCCAAAATGTCCCTTAACCCTCGTGGAACGAGGGTTACAGGGACGCCGGAATAGCAATCCTGTTATTTCAAAATCTATTTCGAAATAACAGGCTTGTTCAAAAGACACAGAATAGCTATTTCGGGATACCTCTGATATCCCAAAATAGTGCCACTGTCTAGACATATCCGTAGAGGCTTGTGGTTTTAGTCTCGAAGTATCTGGGCACATGGGGGAGCTGTGTGTTCTGAAAAGGGGATAACTGTTCCTAAAATTCACGTTGCAATCACAGTCCCATTGTAAGGGCTGATTTTGCTCTCTTGAGATTCTAAAGGAAGGGGAAGAGTGGAAAAGTAAAGACCACAGCAAGTTATTTCTGTTTTCAAAGGCTGAGGGTTAATTCTCCTTGGTAACTAGAACACAAGACATTTTTATTAGGCTTTCAGCCTTAACTCTGCCCCATCAGGCCTGTTGGCACACTACCGGGAAAAGGAAAACATGAGAGTTAACATTTTTCTGTCTGATCTTTGGGTATAAGCCCAATTCTTCCAAGAGACTGTTGGTCCTGAAAGCATTCTTAGTAGTGTGCTTGCCCAACTGTTTCTAGTCCTGGCAGGTTGAGAGATACTGGACCTTAAAATCATATTATTTTGATTACTCTCTTCAATTTCAACACGTTGTTTGATGCCAATATACTACAAGCCATGGCAGTTAGAGATGAGAGACACTGTGAAATTTGACCCTCAAATTAAATCTCATAACAATAAGCTCGCCCCCCCCTCCCCCCGCCCAAAAGAAAAAGAAAGAAAAAGAAAAAGAAAGAAACAAACCAAAAAGGCCATCCTTGTGAGGAACAGAAACATTACCATGACTTTTTAATGATTCCCTGTAAAACCATAAACCCTTCCCCTAAACACCCCGGTTTAGTCCTTGATTCAGTAATATGTACAGCACAATGGGCAAGGCTATTTGTGCTTCCATGCAAATGCAACCATAGACTACCTATGAGCATATGTAAGGCTATGCGCCAGGGACAGTCCTCCAGAATGGGCACTGATATACCTCTCATGTTACTTTCAAGTGTAGAGAGTTTAAAATAAACAAGCGTATAAAGGAAAGTGAGAATATCTGAGGTTTGGAAGCTGGAGGAAACACATGTTCCATCATGAGGCAGTTCATTATGTCCTGATCCCTCAGACACTTATGCATTTGCCTAACTTTACCCATGTAAATAAAGTTTTAAACTAATGTTTCCCTTTTAATTTGCAGACTGATTAAGAAATATTTATTTCTAAGCACAGCAGGCCTCAAGATACTGGCTCTTACATCTTTCAAGGTCCCTCTGTCCAACAGTGCTTATTTTGATACTGGTCCAGGTCTGAACATAGCAAGAGTCTGACCATGAAACAGTGTAATTTTCAATTCCTGCAACACAATGCATGCACAACAAGAAACCCCCTTCACATATGTTGATTCAGATAGCAATAATGCAAACTACTTTTGTACAGAGGACTTTATCCAAACTGATCTAATTGATTCAACAAACCCAAAATGCCATAACCACAAAGAATGAGATGGTATTTAAAAATAAGTTATGGTTCAGTGCCACCTCAATTGCCTGAAGGTTATGAGAGATACCAAATACAATGAGACAATGGAGTTTTCAATCTAATTAAAAAAAATCAAGTGACCAGAGATGGTTTAGGAAAACTGAGCTTTACACATAAACCTGTTATAAAGCATGCTCTGGATAGCAGCTTTTCTCTTCACTGCATTGAGTAAGTCTGGATTAGGCCCTTCAATAGATAGAGTTCACTGCATTTTATCCAACTAAAGAGTATTGCAGATATCAAACATATGCGACAGTTATTGCAGGTCAGAAACCCTTGATTAGATATCAAACTACAGTATTTTATAGCAAATAAAATTAGAAAATTCTATTCTTTTATACACAATAGATTACCTAGCAATAATGGGAGTTTGTGTCTCTATTGAAAGAAAATTTGACCTCTTTGGCTCCTTACTACTATGTGAATAAAACTTCCTTGTGTATACTACTCAACTTATACATTTGATTTCTCTATGACAAATTGAAATTGCATACAAGGCTTTTACATGTATTTGAATTGTGAAGATACATATGTAGCTTCAGTATGGATGATTTCTTCACTTCCTCTCTTAAATGTAAAACCTTATTAAATATTAACTATTATACCAACTGAGAAATTGATCTAAATCAGCAGGTAGATCAGCAAAATAGTATTGTTTCTTAGAACCCTATCAAACACATATTCAAAAAGCCTATGGCCAAGTTCATATCTGTAAAATCTGAACACAGCCAGGTAATTGTGCTCGCAGATCTGGTATTTGCATATACAAATACCCGTTTTGCATGCACAGTTGCTTGTTTTCTAGAGATATTTCTCAGGAACAATGTGGGCAAGCATTTAAAAAAAATACGAAAAAGAAAGAAAAGAAAAAGAAAAGGTTCTCTGTGTTCCAAAGGCTACCCTCGAATCCTAAAAACCACTAAGTCTGATCTTCAATATGGCATACAGTAATATAGCTTGTTCCTGCAGATAATCTGGTCTATAATTTCAGGCAACTATTAAGAATAAAAGGCAAATTAAAGCCTACTAACTTATTATGTTTAGCCATTTAAATCTCATTGGTCTTCCAACGCTCAGTAAATAACCCTAGCTTGCAAGGATCACCCTTAAATGAGTGTTCACATTTTTTTCTGTTCTCCTCTCCTGGGATGACTTCTCTTAAGCAACAGTTAGAACCTATGCCAAATGTGCAGAGGGAATAAAAACGGAAACCACAAACCTCAACTTACATCAGGGCATTTTGATAAAAAATAGAAAAATTCTACTCTAAGGTTAGTGACTGAGGTTAATTATTGCCCGTGGTAATAAGCAGAGCATGTATTGCACAAGCATCTGATGACTGTACATCTGTTTTTTTTAAAACTGTACTTGTGTGAAATTTGTGGATTTGTCCCTACAGATATCAAATCATTCATCTTCTATTCATACTTAATGTTTTAAAAAAATTGGCAAGAACAACTGTCTGTGAAAATGTGTGCCCCAGTGGAATAAATTCCATCTGTCTTTTTGAAGGGCTGTTTTTAACAATTACAGTTTTCCTAAGTTATAAACCAGCATGAGGCAAAATAAACTATATACAAGAACAGCCAGTTGTCATCTTTCTGAAAAAAATGGTATTTTTGCTTTTGTCCCCTAGATCAGTGGCATCTCGGTTTCTAATGTAAAAAATTCTATGGTTTTCTGAAAGTCAAAGTGTCCAGGAAATGCTGCATAAAATACTCCCTTTCTTCTCTTTAACCAATATCCCTTTGGTCTTGTGTACTATACAAATCATACCCAAGTTTGTTGCCTTCAATTTCAGAGCACTTAATTATCTTTCTGAAAAACACAATACATGTATGCAAAACAAAGCTTTAGGGAAACATCTAAAATTATTAATGATATAGCCTTAGTGCAAAGTATATTCTTTGCTCCCAATGAATCTTAGTTTTTGCTGCATTTAATTTGACAGATAATGAACCCCTGTTCTAATATGGGATCTGAAACCTGCATTAACTTGTTACTAGATCACTTACTTCTGGGTTCTCGAGGTCCATCCACCGTTATCTTGATGGCTCTGTGATACGTGGCTACTTGTGGAGGATTGGTAAAGACTGTGATGGTTAAGGTGAAGCTCTTCCCTGCAACAGGAAAGCACATTGCTCATTTACTGATAATTACAATACACCATGCATCGACAGAATTTGTATCTGCAATTTTCAGCAGTTCAGAAACATCATATTTTAGTCCCTCTCATTATATATTTGCCCATACAGTGCAGCTATTCACCTCCATTTCAGGGAAATCCAAGACTGTGCATTCCCATACATGGCTACCAATATCCCCTCCAATTTTTTTCAATACATGTGTAGAATAAATTTTGATATGTGTACCGAGGCATGTGCAGATAGGCACCACTAATAGAAACAATGCAGCCAGCTGTGGATGCTCTGCTAATAAGTAGGGTGGCATTTGAATTTCTCCTAGGTGGCTGCCCAAGCATACAGCTTACAGGAACACTGATGGCTACTGCTCTAAGCATGTATAATGAACTGATTTACATGTAATGATATGTATACTTTGTAAAATACTCAGTTTACAGATGGACAGTTATATTTTAAATTAGCGCACTACCCCTTACAAATTATCTATACTTGTTGTAGTCTTAGCTCAAAGAGCCCTATCAATTATGACTGAGTTCCAAAGCTGCCTAAGGAATCAGAATACTCTGTTCCCATTAAAATAAATGGGAACTGGGTGTTCAAGTCCCCTAGGGCACATCTACACAGCAAGGCTAAAGATGAATTAAGCTACGCAACTTTGGCTACATCAGTTGCGTAGCTTAAGTCGAAATAGCTTATTTTGGTTTTTGGTGCTGTCTTACATAGCAGGAAGTTGATGGAAGAACATTCTTCCTTCAACTTCCCTTACGCATCATAAAATAAGGGTTAACATGAATCGGATTAAGAAGTTCTCCAGTTCGACATTATTTCAAAATAAAGGCTTATAACACACTATGTTATATTGGAATAACATCAGTTATTCTGAAATAACGTTGCTGTGTAGATGTACACCTAGGAAGCTTTGAAAATCCCATTGTTGATGGTTCATGCTAGTGTTAGATCAATTCTACAGAATAAACAGGAATCCTTTAAAATGAAGAAAAGTCTACAACCATAGCTCCAAGAAATTATACAGAACAGATACAAAAAATCTCTATAGTGTGTCTAAAGGGAATTAAAGTTTCCATGAAGACATAAAGATTTGACTGTTCTGGATTTCCTCCACTTCCTCCCCCCGTTTTAACCCTGCCCAAGACTATTTTATACAAACTCAGGTGTTTTCATTCATTCCCTTCGTGGGAAAAGCTGGATTTTTGGCTTCCTAGATTTCTATGGAAAGTTTTGCTAGGCTATTATGGTGGATTTCAGTATAAGTTGTAGGGAAGACTTTTCAGATATAATATGTGCATACCACAGTTCTGAATTTTGAAAACTAGTCATTTTGCTGGTTCAAATGGAGATAAGAAATTATGACTTATGCCCTTGTGAGTATAATGCATTTAAATATATCTGCTTCTGTTTTGGTTTTAACTCCTTTTACCTTCATTTGTACAACTGAAATAACACTTCTACTATCCTAATATACTTCAGATTATTAAGTTAGTGGCATGTTGACTGTATAAGTATTAACTGTTACTTTGGCATTTATAGAAAGAAAAGGCTGACAGTACGGCTGTAGCCAGCTCAAGTATAGTTAGCTGAATGTCTATGGGGAACATAGATAATCATGGAATTTTCAGGAAACACGACTATGATTTGGACAGTAGGAATTTTAGATAATTGAGGTTATACTTGCATAGGCATATGCAGTACATTTTTCCCCCCACCTCTAAAGAAATCCACTTCATTGCTGATCTCCAAAATTCCCCTGGTATCCAAGTCTCGGGCTTCTTTGATGAATGCTTCCAATTGTTATACTTGGCTTTGTTTATCTACATGTGAGTATACATCCACTTGTGTTGAGAATACGAGAGTTACATTTACAATATAAACAGTATCTGAATGCAGTTCTTATCTAGGGACCAATAATAGCTCTCAGTACTAATATCTGAGCACTTCATAATCACTAATGGTGTCTGTCCTCACAATGTCCCTGTGAATTAGGATGGAGCAGTAAAGCACAGGTTAAATAAGAGCTTGTTTAAAAAGTGCAGCGACATGCTCTACAGGACATGCCCATATACATCTTGCTGAAGTGCACTAAAATTTCCCTAGTACATGCTAGTTCAGACCCTTCCCAAACAGTAGTATATTACTGTGCTCACAGGAAATGTTAGTGCATACCAGCAGGGTCTACATGGGCCAGTTAGTTCACAGTATGCTAATATGCTTTAAAATTCACACCCCTCTAGCAAACAAGCCTGATGTGTCTCCGCCAATGTCACACAAGAAGTCTGTAGCTGAGCCAGGAATTAAAACTCAAAAGTCACTGGCATGCCAGTCCAGTGCCTTCCAAATACCTGTTCAACTTCTGCTGAAAAGTAACTCCAGGTGTTGGGAGGAGCTGTAAAGGTGGCATGAAAGCCAGCTTTAAGCCATGTCTTACAACTTCTGACTTTTGGCTTGGGTCTATTTAGCCAGACTCAAGGCCATTGTGTTTTTGATGTATTTCTAAATACCAAATGGTATGAAAGAACACAACAATTGTGTTTGTCTTCTTGCCAATACTCAGCCTTCTTTTTAGGGGTCAAAATAACTATTAAAAACTCCCCAAGGAAATGATCACCAAAAACATAAGATTAACTAATGTTAATTAATATTAACTAATATTAAAGGGACATCATCAAACCAAAGAACATATCCTGATTCTTTAAGATAATATTTTCCTACTATTATTAGAAGTAACACGTAAAATGAGAATAACGGAAAGAGATTAGAGAAAAATAATACTTTTCTATTTATTAATCTATTTCCATTGAGCTATAATGTTTCCAGTGTCTTGACTGGGGCATTTGACAGCACTTAATGGGGCATTTTCACTGTTTCCCTAGCATACCTAATAAGTCCCCCTATTTTTTTTCCTGTAGGTTTTTCACATAGCACAAGAAGTGAGAAAAATATTTTAGTAGTGAAATGTAATATTAACATAACAAGTACCATGCAGAATTAGGGCCAGGAGAAATACTTGAAACTGCTTTACTATATTCTTTAAAATTTACTAGATTTCAGAATAATGGTAGTTGTTGTGACATAATTTGGCAAAAGGAGGAAGACACTCCAGTTACCTTTTATTGTTTACTGAAGTCTACTCATTAACCACATGCTGGTTAACCACAAAACTACATAACTCTATGCCTATGTGTCACTGTTACTCTCTGATAATTCCTCTGGCCATTTTGTTTAGTTTGCATTTAGTTTCTCAATAATACGTATATTGTTAAAAAGTAACTAAATGTTTGGTTGATTCAGATAAAATTAGCTAGAAATGTATCCAAATTAATTTTACCTGAACCAACCAGACATATAGTTAACACGTGCATAAAAATGATAGGTAGAGCCCTGCAAATCCACAGATATCTGCTTTATACCCGTGGGTACCCACATCCGCAGATGTGGATATCTGTGGCTCATTTTTGCAGATACAGATGCGGATGCAAATTTTGTATCCATGCAGGACTCTAATCATAGGATGTATGCACATCCAAAACATTCTCCTTCTGTTTATGCATTAGCATGCAGCCTAAATATGTGATCTCATTTTATCCTAGATACACATGACCATATTACAAATGGAAATGTATGCAGACACACAAAATCTGTCAAAACAGATTATTAAATTTTGGTTTAAAAGTAATATCAGATTAGTTTCTTGACAGATTTCCCCAGTATCAAGCCCTTTGTTTAGCTAATGGGAAGAGGTGAGACCCCTTTTTTAAACAATCCACAAACCATGAATGGAAAGATCATGAACAAAAGAACTAGGGATCATGCGCACACAATATATAGTAATTAGCATTGAAATTGTTGTGCATATGTGGATGTATTGAGTGAGAATAGTGAAATGAACTCCTATGAGGTCCTTATCTTTAACACTGTTAGTGAGCAAAGTTTTAACTAGAGACTGCCCTTCTCTCTCTAATTATCCAGGGCAGATCCTAACATCAAGGATGCTGCAACTCTTGGTATCAAGGATAAAACTTTTAAGAGCCTGGGGCTTTTTCAGCAGAGGGCCCTTGGCATTGGAATATACTCCCTGCAACAACAATATAAGCCCCAATTTTACATCTTTAAAGGTACAGTATAAGGTTTACTGTTTCAGTCAATCAGATTTTCCCCAGTATTAGGGTAGCAAGATCCCCACCATGATACATATGAACAAAAACCACAATTTAACATGGGGAAGGGAACTAACTGTATTTCTGAACAGGCAGAATGTAACACTTTGTTTTGTATATGGTACCCACATATTATGTTGATGGGTGCATTAGAAACTACCCAGAAATGCTCTCTAGAGCCATCAGTGATCAAAACATCAAAGTTAAAGATAGATTTTTAATTTTTTTAAAGGCTCAGACCTGGAGGGCAATGAGATTCCTGAAGTGCTCTCCCTGTGCATTTTTGGGATGAGGTTTGATCTAGTGCCCAAAGGGTCTTCAGGGACTTGCATTCCAGCCTGTTCAGCTGGAGAGAGGGCTTGCAGCTTTGGAAAGGACAGGAAAATAGCAAACCCCACACAACAACCTAGTCACATGCAAAAAGGTGCTGTTTATTGCATTAGTCATTCCTGTGAGATGTAATTCCAAGAACAAGATGGCTTGGCAGATAGGAGGCATTTTTTATCATGTGTGTGGATGCAAAGCAGCATATCCAGGCAAAATACAGAGAATGGCAAACAGTACACCAAAGACAGGCGGCCAGCAGGGCTCACCAGATGTTTTTAAAGGACAGTTTTCTTTCTTCTGGTATGTATGCACTGTGGTTATGGAAGAGAAGTCAATGGGGTAAATTAGAGAAGAGCTTTAGAGATTGCAGGCCATATCATTAAAAACAATGAGTGGTCTTATGGCACCTTAGAAACTAATTAAAATATATAGAATCATGCGCTTTTGTGGGCAAAACCCACTTCATCAGATTACATT